CTGGACACCATTCGAGAACTACACTTCTGGAGGTGATCAGGTTCACACGAATGCCCCTAATAATCACTTCGATCGGTGGCAATCTCGCTGTGATCATTGTTCTGTTACGATATAAAGTTTTGCGCAAAAACTCATCAAACCTCCTTATTGCTCAGCTTGGTTTGGCTGATTTCATTGTTGGTGCGTGCGTTTTCACTTGATCAATTTCAACTTCAGTTTCATATTTATCTTTTTTACACATTCACAAATATTCGCTGTTTATGAAGTCAGATAATGTCACTCAAATTGTTTTTGATTGCCATGATTTGCCTATTGGAAACGTTGATGTGGTTCATTATCTCAGAGTTATCTGATCCTAGTTGGTTGGCGATAATGATAACAGTACTGATAAGCACATTAAGCAGCACAGTATCAGCAAGTATAATGATAATGAATCTCTAAAGGTCTTGGTATATTCGTTCGAGCAGTTCAAAATGAGATGTCCATATTCAATGCTAATCACGTATTTAACCGTGATCAGTGCATGTTATTCGGAGCCACATCTATATTTGGTATTCTCTTTTNATATTCAATGCTAATCACGTATTTAACCGTGATCAGTGCATGTTATTCGGAGCCACATCTATATTTGGTATTCTCTTTTTGCAATCGACGATCATTATGATCGCTATCGATCGAGTCACAGCTCTGGCACGGCCCATTCTCTATCGACGTTATGTTAGTTTTGCATTTATTCAAATTTAGTTTCAATGTTTGAAAGTATCCATTCGATGTGTTCATAGCAATTGAATGTAAACATTGCAAGTAACTGTTCAGGCTGAAAGTAAATGTTTATCACTGAATCGATTGATAATCTGCTTGCTGACGTCAATGTTAGTGTTTGGTGTGCAGTTTATCGGTTTCCCGGACAGTAAACACATTGCTTTATGCTCATCAGGTTGTTACTTTGCTCATTCTTTGCTGTTTGCAAACGATAGAAACATTTTTGGAATTATTCACTATCAGGTAGTATTTAGATAGAGAAATTGTCTTGCGATGCGCTGCGATTTCATTAACATCACTCTTAGAATGGGCTTTCTCCACTAAAATGACTGAATAGTCGGAATGGTCGGTGTTAGTATTCAGTATGCAACTGT